CCCGTCGCAGAACTGTTTTCGTTGCGAACAGAACAGCTAATTAGCTCCGCTAAAGCTGTGCTAAGATGCTTTTGGGAGCTTTTCTTACATTAAAGAAAAAACAATGAGCTGATGCTAAAGGGATTTGTTGTTGTTGTTTAAAAAGCGTTGTTCTCTTTTCCTCTTCTCACCTGGTCTCTGGCTTATAAGGCCAAGAGCGTCTACTAACTGCTCATTACTAAAGGCCTCACTCGTTAATCTGGCACTTGGACAAAAGAAAATAAAAAAGCCTTCCGTCTGTGCATTCACACTTGAAACCACCAAAAACCACAAACACACACGAGACACGCGTCCTGTTTCTCTGCAGACTTAGTCAACAATAACACCTTTAACAAGATCAGGGTTTATTTTCTGCTCCTTCAGGTGAGAGCAGAGAGAGAGTTAGAGTTGCAGAACAGTTTATTCAAACTTCAAAATACATCATTTGATGACTTCCTGTTTTCTACATGCAGAGGGCGGACTCAGGCTGTATGAGGGGGCCGCGGTACAAATATAAAAGTGGGCACTAGCTGCATGTGGAGGGGCAGCAAAACATTTTTAAAAAACATTTTTAACATCTAGTCTAGTCGGTCTTTTGTGTTAAGTTTTCTTGACTGAAAGGCATTTTGTTTAGTTTTCCCTTTTAAGATTTATTTTTAGGCTTTCTGTGCTTTATTGTGGAGATTTAAGACAGTAGACAGAGTCAGAAACTTGGGTGAGAGAGAGAGTGGGGTATGGGTCAACAAGTGGAAAAAGGAGCCAGAGGTCGGACCCAAACTTGTGGCTGCCCACCCTGAGGATCACAGCCCCCCACACACATGGGGCCAAGCACCAACCACTGCACCACCCTCATTTTCTCCATTTAAGTCAATCTTGGAACACAATTTGTTTCAACATGTTTCCCCCACAAGAAGGTCAGTCAAGATGGCCCTGTTACAGCAGGATTTTAAAAGAGAGAGAGAGAGGTAAAGGTGAAGATGAGCTAGCTCTTTGTTCTCACCCATAAAATTATACTGTTCATACAAATACTGTGAATCACAGGTCACAAGTCGTCCTGACAGCAGCAGCACTTCATTTAAAAAACTGGCAGCGTTACCTTGACTATTTCTCTACTAAAACTGTGCAATCTGTTGAAAACTGGACAATATTAATACATCAAAAGAGCAATCTATACATGAACCGTGCAATATGTACGCTGTTAATCCATCAGTGTGTATTCATTCTTGTAAATATTGTTTATATTCTCAATGACCTGTGCTTGAACATAGCTTATTACTTATACTACTTTATTATTGCTTTCACTTGGTACTTCACTTATTATATTGTTATACTATTTTTATTTTATTTCATATTGTGAACTTATCTGTACTTCCTACTGATTCTTGTTATGAGCAACTGTAGCAAACACATTTCCCCCTGGGATTAATAAAGTATTCCTGATTCTGATTCTGATATACAGTAAAGTATTAGTGAAGGATATTTCAGCAGTCAGCTTGTGTTCTTTGCATTGACTACAGTTTACGCACAGCTCTGCAATCTGACAAAAGAATAGAGAGAAATCTTAAAAATGACATAGATATATAGACATAGATGAGATAAATCACCTTCCAGGTCCAGTCAATCAAAGAAATCCTTCCCTGTATGTGTGTAGATGATCGAAAGCTTTCTTACACACAAACAGTACTCAAGCAGACTGTCCACAATATGTCCAACATGCTAATACCTTGACCTCCTTAGTAAAGTTTTTATGAATCTCTTTCCACTCTTCTGGTCTGGACGCTCCTCTGATGTGTTTTTAAACCTGACCAGCTTTTATGGACACATTTTTTGGCAAATATTATAATAAAAAAACATGAAACATACTGTACATTAAAATAGAGGAAGCTTTAGAGTGTCGTAGATTGTTCCCCGCTTGTTTGTACCAGCTGACAGAAAGGCATGGACCAACCATTTCTGGAACCATTAGGACTACAAAAGATCCCTTCTGACATGAAACCAGATATATAAAGAAATGTGACTTTTACTATGATTTTATTGACCTGATGGTCTGTTTGATAAAATTCTTGTTTATTTGAAAAGTGAGATATCAACTGATCTGCTGTTCTAGGATGGAGGAGAGTATAAAAGAAGGCGACTGGCTGCAGCCTCCTCTGCTGGTCAACTGAAACACTTCCTCACTATTGAAGGCCTCTCAGTTCTTACTCGTTACTCTTTACCCCCCCCCCCCCCATTTCCTCCTTTGCTACCTTTAAAAGTGTGAGTTTCCTCTTCCTGTTCTTCTCAATCAGTTGAGTATGTGGACACCTCGCTGGTTTTGTGCAGACATAAAGGAAATGAGCCGACTTAGTGTGCTAGAGCAGTGGTTCTCAACTGGTCGAGACGTTACAAAGTGTGTTAGAACAAAGAAACTGATGAAACAAACTTTTGCGACCCACTTTTGGATCCTGACCCACCAGTTGAGAACCATTTGTGCTAGAGGCTTATTTATGTGTTTTGTGGAGATAATCGATAAGGGTAATATCATCCTGCAGAAACACAGACATATTACCAGATGAATCTGACCTAAGTTACTTAAAAAAATATGTGAAGTAATAAATGAAAGAAGAAGTTAACTTAAGAATTGTTACAGAAAATAAAATAAACCAACAAAACATAAATATTTAGTCAACTGCACATTTTTATTAGCACAAACAGTCAACACATACAACATTATGTAGCACCTGAAATGGAACTGATGTAAGGTAAGGTAACTGTATTTAAACCCAAAAGTAGATTTGGTTTAAAGTGAGTGAGTGGGCCTCATTTTACACACAATCAACAACACAGAACAGGACAAAGCATGACAAAAGTGACAACAGTGCTCATTACTAAGAAGATAATCCTGAGTAAAAAAAAACAAGATAAAGTAACCAATCAGAAAGAAGAAAGCAAATAAAAAGCAAGAAAACGAGACAAATATACCACCAATCAGTAAAAACATGGTAAGCAAAAACAGCCTATATATGACATTAAAGTCTTTATATGTGATTTTTTGATCCAGCAGATGTCGCCCTTGAGCACCAGCATGAAACCAAAACAACTCGCGCTGCATTGTTGTGTTAGCATGCTAATGCTAGCGATCTTTATTATGCTGGTATCTTCACACTGCATGTAAATTTACCTGAAATGAGCGTGATCTAGAAACACAGTTAAGCAGTGAGTACAGTATGTTATTCTTCTTTTCTCTAGTCCCTCAATTAAACAACTTTTATACACGAGGGGAGGAGTCAGCCGGCCGTCCGGGCGATGTAAACAAAGTGAAGATAGGACTCTAAAAACTGTGAAAACATCACAGACAGTGGGACTCGGGTGTTACACCCATTGTAGACAGTCATGACTCACAGAGTTATTTTCAGAGGAGATACTTGATTTCTACATTTAAGTGTGAAAAATCACAAATTAAGACTTTAAGCAGACTTGAACTGGAGGTCTCTATCCCAACACTGAAAACACAATAAAATGTTTGATGGTGTAAAATAAACACCTTATGTGGACAGATGACATCACTACATTTGTGTCTTTAGTTTGTCAAAAGTTGGAGTGGTACAGATTTGTATTTCTAATGATCAGGCATCTTGGTGAGTTTCTTTCCCTGCTGTTTAACTCAGTGACTCATCAAACACAGATTAAACAATGACAGTGCAACATTAGATAGTTCAAGTTATTTTTTTTTAATGTGAAAAACCAGAAATGACATATTCATGTAATTTAGAGGAAGTGTATTCTAGAACTGAATTTAGATGATGGTATAAGTGTGACTTTAAAAGACATGCATAACTGCACATGTATATAAACTAGGCTATATATTCCATGTGTATATATGACTCTAAAAATGATGTGGGAAGTAATATACCCTACGTGTGTTACCATTTTAAAGTTCAGCTATACGCACACCATGTTCCAAAAGGTTTGAGTAAAAGGAACGTAACTGTAGTTGCCAACCACTTCCTCTTCTCTGACTCTCCTTCACAGTTATACTCCAACACTGAACAATAAACTCTCAGTCTGTTTGATGGTCATCATGTTTCATCCAAACCAAGCAGCTTTGCTCTCCTTATTATTTATGCACGCGGTCTTTGCAGGTAGAGTACAACTTGTCTTTGTAACATAACAATGAGTAAGGTCTTTTACCTGCTTTTTGTAAAGTGTCTCAAGATAACACTTGTTATGAGTTGAAGCTATACAAATAAAAATTGATCGATTGAATTGACCCCCGACCTGACTCACATTTTGATGAAAAAATGATGATCCATGTGCGTGACTCAATTTTGTTTTAGCAATAAAACATGTTGAGGATCTCTTCAGAGAGAGAGAGAGAGAGAGAGAGAGAGATAGAGAGAGAGGGGGCATTTGTAAATGTTAGGTCACAGAAGTGTTTCCTTTAAAAAAATAATAATAATTTCTTTCACTCATTAAAACACTAAATAATTCTAGAAGCTGTCTGCTCCTCTTGGTAAATGCACCAGGTCATTTAACAAAGCTATGATTTCACTTTTTTAATCTCATAAACTTTGAGAACTTTTCACATTCTCACACTATTGAAAGACGTTAGCCATGACCTCTGTGTTCACGGCTGATGTGACACATCATTTCCTTCAAAACAACACCCCACTCCCTCTTCGCCCGACTCTTTCACAGAAATATTTATTGGTGATGAACTGTCAGTCTGTCTTTTTCTCTGGCTTATGGTCATCATGTTTCATCCAAACCAAGCAGCTCTGCTCTCCTTATTATTTATGCACGGGGTCTTTGCAGGTAGAGTACAACTTTTGTGTTTTTTGCAAAGGAATGCTTTTCTCAAGGCTAAGTTTTGTATCTGTTGCATATGTATTAATTGTTTTTTCATTCTTTGATTTAAGCGGATCAAAAAGTCGTCCACACGGATGAAGAGGTGTCCAGGGAGGCTCTGTCATTTTATTGCAACACATCAAGAGAAAGTACAAAACAAATCAACTGGAGCAAAGGCAGATTTCGTTTTTCTCATTCAATGGAAGGAAATGTGACTGTTTCAAATTTAACCTCTGACAGACTGACAATAGATCTATCCTCAAAGCTGATTATTTCTAATGCTCAGGAAGATGATGAAGGACTATATACATGTCATTTAACTGAATCTTCAGGGTCAACGACTTATCGGTGGAATTTAACCGTGTCTGACAAACCTGAAGGTAAGTAGAGCTCAAAGCTGGTCTCCTCACTTAAATAAAAGTCATAATGAATGTGTAAGCTCTGATGACCTGCAACATAAAGTCATTCACATCTGATTTTACACAGAGGAGAAGCCATCAGGGTATTTCCTATACATACTCACAGCTGGGATCGGAGTGGTACTGTGTTGCATCATTTCAGCCACATGCCTCTGTAGGTGAGTAAAACGTTCTCTTTCTAAGCCTGTGAGTAAATTCGTTTTTTTCTTTCTGCTGCTTTGTTTCAGAATTAATTGATGTGGTTCTAAACACAGACATCCTTTTTCTGCTGTACACATTTAAACATGTCACTTCATTTCAGTTACAGATGTGAGCACTCTGACTCTGACCCCTTTGTGGTCTCTTGCCATGTTGTAAATCTTAGTTTAAAACATGCAAGTTATCGGGGCGTGCTGGTGGTGCAGTGGTAGGGCGCGCGTCCCATGTATTGAGACTCTCGTCTCGAGCGGTAGGCCCGGGCTTGCCTCCACCCGTGGCCCCCCTCTGCATGTCATTCCCCGCTCTCTCTCCCTGGTTTCAGACTCTATCCACTGTCCTCTCTCTCTCCCTGGTTTCAGACTCTATCCACTGTCCTCTCTCTCTCTGGTTTCAGACTCTATCCACTGTCCTCTCTCTCTCTGGTTTCTGACTCTATCCACTGTCCTCTCTCTCTCTGGTTTCTGACTCTATCCACTGTCCTCTCTCTCTCTCTGGTTTCAGACTCTATCCACTGTCCTCTCTCTCTCTCTCTGGTTTCAGACTCTATCCACTGTCCTCTCTCTCTCTCTGGTTTCAGACTCTATCCACTGTCCTCTCTCTCTCTCTCTCTGGTTTCTGACTCTATCCACTGTCCTCTCTCTCTCCCTGGTTTCAGACTCTATCCACTGTCCTCTCTCTCTCTGGTTTCTGACTCTATCCACTGTCCTCTCTCTCTCTGGTTTCTGACTCTATCCACTGTCCTCTCTCTCTCTGGTTTCAGACTCTATCCACTGTCCTCTCTCTCCCTGGTTTCAGACTCTATCCACTGTCCTCTCTCTCTCTGGTTTCAGACTCTATCCACTGTCCTGTCTCTGCATTAAAGGCACGAAAAGCCCAAAATAAATCTTTAAAAAAAACAAAAAAACATGCAGGTTATTGCAGATAAAAAGTCAAGTCAAAGTCAAAGTCAACTTTATTTTCAATTTCAAAATATGCCAGACATACAGTGGAATCGAAAGCAGTGTTACTTCATGCTCTTCGTGTTAAAATTGGAGTCAGGATGCAATAGTTTGTCTAAATTCAGTGATTCAATATTTACATTAAAAATGTTTATGGATCATTTGAATGCACAAGACGTTCTCATAGTCCACTGCACAGCTTCTACATTACACCTTTTGTGTTTTTTATATTTAATATTTTACATTTTTAAATTCTATTTTATATATTGTAATATCTTCTTATTCTGTATTATTTTAAGTTGTTGTTAGTTCTGCTTTATTTCCTTGTTAATTGTTTAGCACCAATACACCAAGTCAATTCCTTGTATGTGTAAATGTACTTGGCAATAAACCCAGATTCTGATTCTGATTCTGATTCTGATTCTGATTCTGATCTGATTCTGATTCTGACATATCTTGTGAGTGGAAAACGACATGTTCTTTGCCACCTGTAATTGAAACAGTTTTAAGTTCATTGGATCTGGGGAGAGAGGAGTTTGTGGAGTTAATTGGGTTTAGTTGAGACTAGCAGAGAGTGAAGCCACACGTTCGACCTCTCTCTGTTTCTCTCTTGTTTATCATTTGGATAATTCTGTATCTGTTTTTGTTTATTTTTTTGTCAAAGTAAACACTTAAACTTTTATCTAATGGTCCTGTGGATGTTTTGGATGTGGATTACAGAAGAGGGGATTTTTTGTAGCATCAATCTATACGGCTTCATTCAGTGGAAACCTACAGTAACAAACTAGTTATAAGTGGACTAACTCAGAGGTGCCTTTAAAACAGATAAACTAATCCAAAGTGTACTAATAATACCAATAAAACATTTGAAACAACAGAAAGGTACAATAAGGTGGATTTTCATTATTGCAACTGTTTTAAATTTCTGCAGGAAATGTAAGGCCAAGACAGCAGACCAGAACCCAGTCCAGGACAGTTTCAGCAGCAGTCAGCTGGAGAGGTCAGAAGAACTGTCATCTGTTAAGAAACAACTTTTCTCTTTTTTATCACGCTTAAAAAACACTCAACTTTGTTTTATTTTTTTCCAAAAAAAAAAACCCATGCAGATCCCTCAACAGCAAAGTGGTACAGAAGAGGACAAATAACAAGCGGAAGAGCGAGTACATGGAGAGGCTCAACTCAATCTATGATGCCTACTGAGCTGTCTTTCAAATGAAAGACAAACAAGTGACACATGTAATTCATTTTTACAGTTTTAAACCAGGTGCTTAAAGTTTTTATATATATAAATATAGATTTAAAGTTGATGTGCAATAGGCCTACGTGAATTAAAAAAAGTAGCCTATGTTAACATTAAAAAAGAAAACATTTTGCCGCCTATGTGATGACGATTGTGAGTCAAGTCATCGGCAAAACGAGCACCTCCTTCTTTTCCGAGTTTCCGAGTTGTTGTTCCGACTTGAGCAGGTGTTCATGTGCATTTTACAACTCGGGTATCGTTTTTTCCGATGTGCCTGACACCCTGAATGCACCAACTGCCAAACGTGCCGTTCGATGACGTTCCACTGTTATCAGCCAATAGGAGCAGCCTCACCAAAACAAACCGGAAGCTGCAAACTAGTAAACACGACCGAAGGAGAAGGAACGTGCAGCTCCTGAAATAACTGAATTACAACAGGGCTATCTCAAAGTGCAGTTATCCCCAAACTTTTAAACACATTTCCATAAACTGTCACCCAATTTCTCAACACCTCAGAGACAAAAAAAGAGTGAACTACTTTGTGAAAACTCTACAAATGTCTTACAAAGTGAAACAAAGCTAAAAACCATGTCCCCTCTTCTCTAAACTTCATTTAACCAAAACAATACACACTGATGTGAACAATTCAAAACACTACCATCA